TTTCTAGCCCTCTCCCAAATTAATTCTTATTTAAATTACTCAGACCCGACATAAATTCAGATTTAGCAACATGTTTACAATTTGTTTGTTCACCAGTGCCTCTTGCATTCTGTTCCCCCCAGTGGCCTGATGTTAATGAAGTCTTTCTCAGAAAATGAGATTCCAGGTGGTATTTTATTAAATAATTTTTTTTGTATTTTATATATATATATTTTTAAAATGTCTATTTTTGAGAGAGAGAGAGAGAGGCACAGAGTGTGAACAGGGGAGGGGCAAAGAGAGAGGGAGACAGAATCCGAAGCAGGCTCCGGGCTCTAAGCTGTCAGCACAGAGCCCAATGCAGGGCTCGAACTCACGAGCTGTGAGATCATGACCTGAGCCAAAGTCAGACACCCAACCGACTGAGCCACCCAGGCACCCCTGTATTTTATATATGTTTTTGTTTTTTTTTCTAATGAGGTACATCTGGGTGGCTCAGTTAAGCATCCGACTTCAGCTCAGGTCATGATCTCACAGTTCATGAATTCAAGCCCCGTATCAGGCTCTGTGCTGACAGCTCAGGGCCTGGAAACTGCTTTGGATTCTGTGTGTCCCTCTCTCTCTGCCCCTCCTCCACTTGCTCTCTGTCTCCCTTTCTCTCAAAAATAAAAGTGAACATTAAAAAAAAATATTTTTTAATAAGCAGGTACTATATAAGTATAAAAAAATAAATCTATCTTCATACTGGAAAAAAAAAATAAGCCTAACATCTGCGTGTAAATGCTAAGCAAGGAAAAAAGTAGCATATCTGAGTGTTCTTGTCAAAGGGGGAAAAAAGTAAAAGTAAACATATCTCCACGTGTAACATTCTGGAGGGAAGGTGAGTGTGAAAAAGGATATTCTGCTAACATTATACATGACCATTTCAGAAATAGTTGACAACCAGGTAAAGGTACAGACTTCAAATAAAGAAAAATGGGCTTCTGGGGCATCTAAGATCATGTTTGAGTGGAGTGTAAATAGCATTTTGGTTTTCTTCTTGCCAAAATCATGTTCTGGGATTGAGGTTATAAAGGAAAAGAATGAGGGGCACCTGGTGGCTTGGTTGGTTGAGTGTGTCTGACTCTTGGTTACGGCTCAGGTCACGATCTCGTGGCTTATGAGTTCGAGCTTTGTGTCAGGTTCTGTGCTGATGGCGTGGAGTCTGCTTGGGATTCTGTCTCTCCCCCTCTCTCTACCCCTCCCCCACTCACGCTGTCCCTATCTCTCTAAAAATAAATAAAGAAACTTAAAAAAAATTTTTTTTTTAAAGGAAAAGAATGAGGTCAATGGTACAAAGCTCCCCATATAGCAACATGTATGTGTCTAGTACTCGAATACGAGGTATCAAATAAGTCTGGAAATGTGGGGAAGTGATTTTTTTTTCAGGTTAAGGGTCTACTTATAACTTTAAATATAGAAGCACTTTGCCCACAAATGTGTCTGAGATTGAAAGAAAACACATTAAACATATCACTTGAAAATACAACTAGTTACTGTGTGAAACTTTTCTTGCAGCATGATTTATAATAGCCAAGACACAGAAGCAGCCTAAGTGTTCATTGGTGGATAAGACAAAGAAGATGCCATGCACACACACACATACAGTGGAACTGTTATTCAGCAAGAAAGAAATCTTGCCATTTGCAACAACATGGATGGAACTTGAGGGCATTATGCTAAATAAAATAAGTCGGACAGAGAAAGACAAATACCATACGAAGCGAGTTCTTTGCAGAATCTAAAAAAGACCCTGAACTCATAAAGAGGACAGACTGGTGTCTTCCAGAGGCACGGGTCAGGAGGTGGGGAAAATGGGTGAAGGGGGTCAAAAGGTACAAAGTTCCAGCTATAAAATAAGTAAGTCCTAGAGATGTAACGTAGAGCATGGTGACTATAGTTAACGATACTGTGTTGTATATTTGAAAGCTGCTGAGAGACCAATCTTAAAAGTTCCCATCACAAGAAAAAAATGTTTTACCTATGTGCAGTGATGGATATTCACTAGGCTTATTGTGGTGAACAGTTCACAGCATATATGAGTATCAAATCATGTTGTACATCTGGAACGTAACGTTATATGTCAGTTCTTTTTTTTTTTTAACATTTATTTTTTATATTATTGAGAGAGAAAGAGACAGAACATGAGTGTGGGAGGGGCAGAGAAAGACGGAGACACAGAATCCAAAGCAGGCTCCAGGCTCCGAGCTGTCAGCACAGAGCCCGACGCGGAGCTAGAACTCACAAACTGGGAGATTGTGACCTGAGCTGAAGTCAGATGCTTAACCGACTGAGCCACCCAGGCGCCCCTGTTATATGTCAGTTCTAGATCTCAATTTTTTTAAAAAGATAAATTTAGCAACATATATTTTTTTTTAATTTTTTTTCAACGTTTTATTTATTTTTGGGACAGAGAGAGACAGAGCATGAACAGGGGAGGGGCAGAGACAGAGGGAGACACAGAATCAGAAACAGGCTCCAGGCTCTGAGCCATCAGCCCAGAGCCTGACGCGGGGCTTGAACTCCCGGACCGCGAGATCGTGACCTGGCTGAAGTCGGACGCTTAACCGACTGCGCCACCCAGGCGCCCCAGCAACATATATTTTTAAAAATATATTCAAGAAAGTAAGCACTACAATAACACGTGATCACAGAAATCATTAACAAAAACAGTCTTGTCTTAGATGAGAGTCTTCCAATTCAGTATAAATACCTAGTGCTCCTTGTAACCCTAAACATGATGCTTTAAAAAAGAACCTTAAGTTCGCTCCATTTTACTTAAACATAGTTTGCATACTTGATTAATGGACATGATGTTCTGCAGGCCTCACAATTAATCTCAAAATGTTGCTAATTTATGCACTTACCTATTTGTACCACAGTGGGACCCAGTTTCCCCTTCTCAAACATGAGCTCTGGCCCCATGAAATGCATCAGAAATAGCGGGATTCATGACTTTTAGTGCCTGACAATGACTTGGTTTAAATAGGAAAAAAAAAAAAAATTTTTTTTCTTTGTTTCAACTTTTCAAACACCTCTTTGATTTTGGTTCATACCTACCTAATTTTTTCACTCTATTAGTTCCAGCATTTAAGAAAGGGAGCAAACAGTTTAGTTCATGGAGCTCAGGCGGTAACGTCAAATAACACTCCCAGGCTCCTTGTCCTCAGTCGGCCACCCTGATGCGTAAGACGTCTCTTAGGGGTCTCACATCCTTCTAGAGGCAATGACACACTCCACACCCCTAAGGGAGTCTTCTTGCTGTCTTAAAGTTTGGATTTGTTCAGATGCTATTACTGCTAAGGACAGGAGCTGAAAAAGAACTAGGAGGGGAAGAGTAATGTTAAATAAAGCAAAGTGACAGCTTTAAAGAGGAAATGAGAGACAAGGCAGGGGAACTTGGGAAAAACTCCCTGAGTTTATAACTAGTTTACATATACACCTTTGTGGTTTGCCAAGAGGTCTGGAGTGGCTGCCTGTTTAACTAGCATGGAGTCTTAGTATTGGATACTTTGCAAGACACGGCTTAACTTTAGATCTGATGGATATTCAGAAAATCACTCAGGTATAGTAAGTCTTCACCCATCATCACCCTGCAAAAATGCTCGTGAGATTAAAACAATTCCAAGTTCACACATTTAATCCAACAACTTTGCTTGCAAGAGAAAACCTGATTTGGTGAATTTAGGTTCAAGTTCAATGCTGTCTGTACCTAAGCCTCACAACCACTGAAAGGCTTAAATACTTTTTTACATTATCAAGTAACACCTAAAACTTAAATCACTGTTGGTTCACGTGTTTCTAAAAGGAAAACACAAAATGTACCTAATGTCAAATTATACAAGAGCTGGTAAGCAGCTCAAGAAAGCAGAAAAGCTTTTCAAAGAGCTGGATTGGACACCTGTGCTAGTCACCTGGAAACTTCCAAACAGGCCTGAGAGACCTCTGAATCAATTTCCACAACAAAAAAGTAATAATTTTCTTCCAGAAGTTTCTGGAAGTAGTAGGTTCTGTCCTACTAAGGTAGCCGTGCCAGTTAAATAGGATGGGCTTTTATTTACATGACTATTTACCTGAAGAAATGCCTCTCTTCCCGTACTAAGTGCTTAGGGTATTACAAAACACAGCTGATTTCTTTCTTCAGTATCCAGTTAATCAGGATTAAATACACACATACACACACGCTTTGGTGTTCTGCAGAGACAAGAAAACATATTACCCGATGTCTTCAGCTCAGCAGAGGCAGTACAAGATTTCATCACTGTCCCTGACTCCTATTATTTAAAAGGAGGCTCCAGAAGGCTCAGTAAAAACCTCCACGACTATTCATAGGTGCCAAGAAATGGTCAGAGATAAAATTCATAGTACTGAACTTCATTCTACATAATAAGAGGTACTGATTTCACTTATAATTAGCAATTCTGCATATGGTGATTTTAGATTTGAAGAGACAATGACGGTGTTTATCAGACATTTTACCAGACATAGTTTTGGTTTTATTTATATGGTTTTTCTTGCAATAAAATATACACACCATAAAATGTACTATTTTAACCATTTTAAGTTATTCATGGCATTAAGTACAATCACAATGCTGTGCAACCATCGTCATAACAGATATAATTTCGTGTAATGTGCATAGCACATATTTCAAACCTATGGTTATACAAATTTCTTAAGCAATGCACTTGTATAACTTGTATAAAAATCATAAATTGGGGCAATACATATATGTAATTATAGTCAGCTTGATGCCTTGATTTTTAAATTGTTTACAACTTCTTCAGTTTTATGCTATGCAGTAAAATTCTCAACTTGTAAACTCAAAATCTTCTGTTATCTTCTCAATAAAATTAGCAGTACCACTTACAGAATATGAATTTCAGAACATGCTTTTCCACATTCATCCAATTGGTATTTTATTTTCTCATTATTAATTCTTTGCTGCTTTATTAAAAGGCTAACTGCACGTTCTCCCACATTCACAAAGCTTCCATGTGTTTATTAGTTCTTTGATGGACAGTGAGATGTGTCTTCTGGTTAAAACATCTCCCACATGCACTACATTTGTTATGTTGCTCTGCTGTAGGAGTTAAGTAATGTTTAAGGAGACGTGACTTCTTTTTTTTAAAAAAGTTTTCTTCTTTCAACGTTTATTTATTTTTGGGACAGAGAGAGACAGAGCATGAACGGGGGAGGGGCAGAGAGAGAGGGAGACACAGAATCGGAAACAGGCTCCAGGCTCTGAGCCATCAGCCCAGAGCCCGACGCGGGGCTCGCACTCACGGACCGCGAGATCGTGACCTGGCTGAAGTCGGACGCTTAACCGACTGCGCCACCCAGGCGCCCCAAGGAGACGTGACTTCTTGATGAGGGCTTTTCCACAGTTCGTACACCCGTGGGGTCTCTCACCTGTATGAATCCTCTGATGCATGACAAGCACTGAGGCTTTGCCACATTCTCTACATCTGTAGGATTTCTCTCCTATATGAAATCTAGAACGTTTATAAAGGGATAAACTGTACTCAAAGGTTTTCTCGCATTCCTTACATTCAAACGAGTTCTCGAGTGCATGAGATTTCACATGTTGGGTAAAGGAGGAGTTGTGAGTGAACAACTTCCCACACGGATGGCATTCATAAGGCTTCTCTCTAGTGTGAAGTCTCTGGGGGACCACCAGTTGTGCTTCGTGCACAAATGCTTTCCCACAATCACTGCACACAAAGGATCTCTCTCCACTATGAATGTTTTGATGGGCTATAAGGTGTCCCTTACTGTTAAAGGCTTTCCCACAGTCATTGAATTCAAAGGGTTTTTTTCTCTTGTATGCTTTTTTTCATGTCTAACAAGATGAGACCTCTTTTGGAAGGCTTTCCCACATTCAGTGCAGCCAAAGCTTTTTTTCCTTCTGTGCTTTTTTCTCATGTCTAATAAGACAAAACTTGTTTTTGAAGGCTTTTCCACAGTCTTTGTATTCATAAGAATTTTCTCCAGTATAACTTTTATTATAACTAAGCCAGTGTGAATTAGGTTGCAGACTCTTTCCATTTGACTCACATTTATGTTGTGTTTGTCTTGAAGAAATAAATTTTATACTCAGGTTACGATTTTGGACTCTCTTCATGGTCAGTGTTTTCTTGAAGGTGAACATATCTTGATTCAAAAAATTGTCTTTGCTTCCCTCCTGTCTCTCTAGTGCATCATCAAGTAAGCAGATAACTTCTAAAAAGGTATAAAATTAAACATTCCCAGTTACTCTTTCCAATCTCATGTTAGGAAAAGAAAAATTTTTAAGTCTATAATATCAACAAGGATGCCTATTCTGACCACTTCTATTCAACATAGTCCTAAAGCCCTAGCTAGACCAATTAGGTAAGAAAAAGAAATAAAGGCACCCAAACTGGAAAGGGAGGCATAAAGTATCTCTGTTCACAGATGACATGATCTTATATGTAGAAAACCCTAAAGAACACACACACACACACACACACACACACACACACACACACACAAACCTACTTAGAACTAATACACAAATTTGGCAAAGTTGCGGGATGCAAAGTCAATATACAAAAATCAGTTGTGTTTCCATACACTAAAACAAATAATCCAAAAAGGAAATTGAGAAAACAATCCTATAATAGCATCAGAAAGAATTAATTAGGAATAAACTTAACCAAGGAAGTGAAAGACTTGTATATGGACAACTACAAAATACTACTGAAACTAAAGACAAGTAAACTGACTTCACAGACTAGAAGACTTAATATTGTTAAAAATGTCCATACTTCCCAAAGCGATCTACAGATTCAATACAATTCCAGGGGTATTTTTTGCAGAAATACAAAAAAACAATTCTAGAATTCATATGGAACCACAAAGGACTCAAATCGTTAAAACATTCTTGAGAAAGGGAACAAAGCAGGAGACTTCATACTTCCTGACTTGAAACCATATTTCAAAATTACAGTAATCAAAATAGTATAGTACTGGCATAAAGACAGGCAGGCACCTAGACCAATGGAACAGAAGAGAGAGCCCAGAAACAAACGCATGCATATATGGTCTTCAACAAGGGAGCCAAGACTACACAATGGGGAAAGGATGGTCTCTTCAACAAAGAGTGCTAGGAAAACCAGATATCCACATATAAAAGAGTGAAATTGGACCCTAATCTTACACCACACACAAAAATCAACTCAAAATGTATTAGAGACTTAAATGTGATACCTGAAACTATAAAACTCCTAGAAGAAAACACAGGGGGAAAGCTTTGTAAGGTTGGTCTTGGCAAGAGTTGTTGAATGACTCCAAAAGCATTGGCAACAAAAGCAAACAGACAACTGGAACCACATCAAATTCAAAGGCTTCTGTGCAGCAAAGGAGACAACCAACAAAGTGAAAAGGCAACCTACAGAATGGGAGAAAAAAATGTTTAAAAAACACTTGCCAGGTAAGAGGTTAATATCTCAAATCTGTAAGGAACCCCCACAACTCAATAGCAAAAAATGGGCAAAGGACGTTAATAGACCTGTCTCCAAAGGAGACATACAAATAAATGGTCAACAAGTACATGAAAAGATGCTCAACATCATTAATCATCAGGGAAATGCAAGTCAAAACCACAATAAGAGAACACCTCGCATCTGTTAGGATGTCTATTATAAACAACAACAACAACAACAACAGAAAATAACCAGTATTGGCACAAACACATGGAGATAACGGGACCTTGTGCACTGTTTGTGGGAATGTAAAATGGTACAACCACTGTGGGAAACACTATGGAGTTTCCTCAAAATACCAAAAAGGGAACCAACATATGATCCAGAAATCCCACTTCCGGACATTTATCAAAACAACTGAAAACAGGATTTCTAGAGATGTTTACACTCCCGTGTTCACTGCAGCATTGTTCACAATAGCCAAGAGTTAGAAACAATCTAATGTCAATTAAAAGGTAAAGGGATATGGGGCACCTGGGTGGCTCAGTAGGTTAAGCGGCTGACTTCGGCTCAGGTGATGATCTATCTCATAGTTTGTGGGTTCGAGCCCCGCGTCAGACTCTGTGCTGACAGCTCAGAGCCTGGAGCCTGCTTCACATTCTGCGTCTCCCTCTCTCTCTGCCCCTCCCTGTCTCGCGCTCTGTCTCTCTCTCTCAAAAATGAATAAACATTAAAAAAAATTTTTTTAAAGGTAAAGGGATAAAGAAAATGTAGTATCTACATACATACTATTTAAAAAAAGAAGGAAATTGTATCATAAGTTACAACATGGATGAACCCTGAGGGCATTAGGCCAAGTGAAATAAACCAGTCACAGAAGGATAAATACTGCAAGATTCCACTCATATGAGGAATTTAAAATAGTCAAACACGTAGATATAGAAGGTAGAACGGTGGTTGCCAGGGGCTGGGAGGGGTGGAGAGATGGGGAGTTGTCATTCAGGAGGTACAGAGTTTCAGTCACGCAAGATGAAAAGGCTCTAGAGATCTGCTGTTCAACGATGTGCGAACAGTTAACAAAATTGTACTGTACACATAAAAATCTGTCCAGAGGGTAGATCTCCTATTCTGTGTTTTTTTACCACACACACACACACAACTCTCTCTTGGAGTCTACTTCCCCATTCTGGAGAGCAAAACAAAAGAAATTTGTATTTGCCCTACCCCTGGGCTTTAAGAAAAAATTGCTGAAATGGGGTCTTGTGGAAAACAATAACGACAAATAGCTTTTTCTATTTATAAACAAGACTTTCCAACCTGTGGAAGACGTGAAACAGGAACAAGGTGAAGTTACGATGACAAAGGATGCTAGAAAGCACTCTTAACAAGGACACAAAGTTTTAAGCTCTGAGAACAGAAGAGCCATGTCAGAGAAATGAAAGGGTAATCAGAGAAGCAAGACATAAAAGTATCATGGGGAAATGAGAAGATGTGGATTGGTTTGGAGAAACTTAATTAAGAGTCAAGGCCAACAACATCTAAAAACTAGATTATCCTGGGGGCCCCTGGGTGACTCAGTCGGTTAAGCGACTGACTTCAGCTCAGGTCATGATCTCGCAGTTCGTGAGTTTGAACCCTGTGTCTGGCTCTTATGCTGACAGCTCAGAGCCTGGAGCCTATTTTGGATTCTGTGTCTCCCTCTTTGCCCCTCCCCCATGCTCTCTCTCTCTTTCTCTCTGTCAATAATAAATAAACATTAAATTAAAAGAAACAAGATTATCCTGTTAGGATCTTCCTCATTTCCTTCATACAACTCTCTTTCTCCTTCCCCTGCACACAACCACCAAATGACTATGAAACCATTAACTCCCTTTTATCCGTAAGCACACTCCTATATCCTCAAAAATCATCCAAATCACGGCTGAGGCCTCTGTGTATAAAACTGTCCAACTCCACTTCCAGCTAGGATTCAGCCCCCAAAGCCCGCATATACCCAGGAACACAAGGAGAGGCCCAGAGGAACATTTGAAAGACCAGCCATAAATTTTTGTTTGCGTCTATCATCAGCTATTTCTACCACTTTTCATGACTTTGTCCTGAAAATTAACTGCTTTTTACAACCTCTTTCAATTTCCTAGATATAACACTCTCCAGAACCCTGCTTTGCCCATGACACCACACCCTTCAACTCAAAGTTTCCATTTTGGTTTCCACACTTATGATTTCTATTAACTTTGGGGACCTGAAACACAAGGCTTCTAGTTTATAGCAACATTTGCCTTTATATATTTTGAGGTCAAGGTCAATTCTGATGGTTACCATGAAGTCAATGTAACCTTGTCCAATGTAACAAAATCACTGCCAAGCTCAAATCCCTACAAGGCTAAGTCCGCTGATAATAATAATGTTAGGGAAATGGGGAGAAGATGGTTCTTCACTATTTCTGAGATTTGATTCCCTTCCATCAAGACGGAGTATTATTAGTGCAACACTCTAGACTCTTACCTCATTCCTTGTTTCTGAAAACCACACAATCTGACTACACTGTAAGAGCCAGACACACAGAAAATATCTGCGATCACGTTTAGGAAGGAAGAAGAATGAGGATTTGGGGAATTAAGAGAACAAAGCAAGGACCTACATAAAACAGGCAGCGTAGGAGCCCGGGCAGAGAGGAGAAGAGGGAGGTGGAAGCATAAACACACATTCTCTGTTTATGCTTCATCTCAAAGGGGATCAAGAGTCTGTGACCACTGACATTCAGGGCCAAACTCCGTAATGCTTTAGAATGTCCACAAGTCCCACAGGAAGGGCACTATGAGTACATGCTCAGTTACAGTGAAGAGTTAGTCACCACCCACTGTCCTTACCCACTGCGGTGAGGTTTCTAAAGTTCTCCAGCGTCACATCCCAATACAAGGTTCTCTGATCACAGTCCAGCAGCTGCCACTCTTCTGGGGTGAAGTCCACAGCCACATCCTGGAATGTCACCGATCCCTGTAACGGCACATTCGTCTTTAACCTGTAGTGAGTACCGCTGGGGAAAGTGGAGGGGATTAAGAGCAATTACTCTGATTATGTTCATTGTTCTCAGTCTGCAATAAGTTATACAGGGTAACTAAAAACTACTATGTACTAGACTCAGAATTAAAATTTGTGAGAGAACATGGGGCGCCTGGGTGGCACAGTCGGTTAAGCGTCCGACTTCAGCCAGGTCACGATCTCGCGGTCCGTGGGTTCGCGCCCTGCGTCGGGCTCTGGGCTGATGGCTCAGAGCCTGGAGCCTGTTTCCGATTCTGTGTCTCCCTCTCTCTCTGCCCCTCCCCCGTTCATGCTCTGTCTCTCTCTGTCCCAAAAATAAATAAACGTTGAAAAAAAAATTAAAAAAAAATAAAATTTGTGAGAGAACAAAATCATATTCAAATTGCCCCACTACATACACATATACACACATGTATATATACACACACACATATATATACATTCATATATAATGGGGAGGTACAGAGGAAGAGAAGGAAGAAGAGAGAGAAAATATTAAGTTCACTGAGCATGGCCTTGGCCTCATGTATGTTTAGATAAAAAGGACACCAAAAGTGGTCATATGAAAACCCCTACCGCATTTATAACAAATCTCCTACATAATAAACACTTATCAAATTTTTTCTTTCATAGTACATGAGAGGCAAACCTTATGTATGGAATTGTTATGCCTTATTCTCTAGGACAAGGCCAATAATTCATTGATTGGCTACGTTTTTTCTGACTGACCAAGATTAATCACACATTTGCATTCAACATTACAGTGCGCAGACCCTATGACCTTCATATCAGCTTTCTAAGTGTGTGTTCAATTTAAATTTCTATCTATATTTTTCCTGTTTCTTATATATTTATACTTTCCCATTGCAGTATATGGATTCTTGTAAGTCACTGCAAATTCACTAGGAAACAAAGTGAAATTTGAATGAATAAATGGATGAACAGGCGGACAGATGGATAAGTGTCTTGCCTAGAAATTGGTCACTTTCTGATGCTCATGGGAAAGGACGCAGATCTATGAAAACAAGACTAGGGGGATTTCTCTGCTTTTCCAGCCTAGAAATAAGTACAGTACTCATATGCCTGCTAGAATAGGCTACTGATGAATGAAATGAATGACTATTCAAACAAGTAACACAAGTCCACATTCTGGAAGCACCAACTTGTCCACTTTTTTTTTTTTAATTTTTTTTAATGTTTATTTATTTTTGAGACAATGCTAGAGACAGAGTGCAAGCAGTGGAGGGGCAGACAGAGGGAGATACAGAATCCGAAGTGGGCTCCAGGCTCTGAGTTGTCAGCCCAGAGCCCGACGCGGGGCTCAAACTCACCAGCCATGACACCATGACCTGAGCCGAAGTCGGACGCTTAACCGACTGAGCCACTCAGGCGCCCCACCAACTTGTCCACTTTTAATTCTGCTATGATCGTAGGAAAGTTGGACAAGGATGTGCTCTCTTGGGTAGATGTACACATTTCTTCCCATTGATATATTACAACTTATTGTTAATTTCTTATCTAAGGATTTCTTTTCACCCAGAAATTTATCCTAAAGAAATAAAAACGGACGGATACAAAGATTAAAGTTTGGGCTCTGGAGCCAGGCAGCCTGGGTTCAAATTCAGCTACTCCTCTTACTAGCAGTGTGACCCTGATAGAGTTACCTTAGCCACTCTGTATCTCACTTCTCTTATCTGCAAAATGCTGGTAATAATAGTACACGTCATAGGATTTTTATGACGATTAACCAAGTTAATACATGTAAAGCATTAAGAACAATATATGGCACATGGTAAGCACTCAATAAAATTGTAATTATTTTTAAAAATAAAAAAGGCAAGGAGAGATAAAAAGTAATGTTTTCACATCATTGCTTACAATATGAAAACACTGACAACAGCTTAAATGTCCGTTAATATGGTGTTGATTTTTCTAAAAATGCTATAGAAAGATATTGTTATGGAAAGAGGTTCCATTTATATTTGTAGGTGAAAAAAGTACATTAAAGTACATAATATGATCCTTCCCTGTGGTTTGTTTTTTTTTTTTTTTTAATATGTACCCAGAGACACACAATCTTGGCGGTCCTATATCAAAATGTAAATAATTATTATTTGTAAAGACAGCGGGATCATAACTTTTATACTTGTACTTTCTAAATTTTTTATGAAGCATTACTTTTTCAGATACACGTACATATATACACATACACATAAGAAATAGATATACATATACAATTTACAAATATACATATAAACTTTAAGCCAAGGTCTATAAGTCCCTACACCATTTTGGTTCCACCTCTTCTAATCTCATCTACTTTTAAAAAATTAATTAATTAATTTTTTATTTTAGAGAGAGAGAGAGTGAGCAAGCCTGGGAGAGGGGCAGAGAGAGAATCTTAAGCAGGCTCCACACTCAGCGTGGAGCCCGACGCAGGGCTCGATCCACAACCCTGGGATCATGACCTGAGCAGAAATCAAGAGTCAGATGCTCAACCAACTGAGCCATCCAGGTGCCCTTAATCTCTTTTACTTTAATCTTTCAATCACTCTCTGACAGCTCATCCTATCAGACTTTCAGTTTTCTTGCTGTTCCTCCAAAATACCAAGGTTGATTACTCACGATCTCTGTACATTTCTTCTACTTGGACTGTTCTTTCCCTGGAAAAACTCGGATACTGCACAGCTCACTCTCTAAATTCTTAAATTATTATTTTTTTTAATGTTTTTTAAAAACTTTTTTAACGTTTATTTATTTTTGAGACAGAGAGAGACAGAGCATGAACGGGGGAGGGTCAGAGAGAGGGAGACACAGAATCTGAAACAGGCTCCAGGCTCTGAGCTGTCAGCACAGAGCCCGACGTGGGGCTCGAACTCACAGACCGCGAGATCATGACCTGAGCCAAAGTCGGCCGCTTAACCGACTGAGCCACCCAGGCACCCCAAATTATTTATTTTTTAATGTTTACTGTAGTGTTGTTGTTTTGAGAGACAGAGTATGAGTGGGGGAGGGGCAGAGAGAGAGGGAGACACAGAATCCGAAGCAGGCTCCAGGCTCTGAGCTGTCAGCACAGAGCTCGACGCGGGGCTCGAACTTGTGAACTGCGAGATCATGACCTGAGCCAAAGTCAGATGCTTGAACTGCAAGATCATGACCTGGGCCGAAGTCAGATGCTTAACCGACTGAGCCACTTAGGCGTCCCTCACTAAATTCTTTTAGGTCCCTGCCTACATGTCACTTAGCAGTGAAGCTTTTCTTGACGCCCTCATATAAAACAGCTTCTCTCACTGTCACCATCAGGCCATACACCCTTACTCCTTTTCCTCATACCACTTGCCACCAGGTGACAGGTTATTTGGTTTTTGCTTATTTCCTTCCACGAAAAGGGACTCTGTTTTGCTCAGTGTGGACTCTGTTTTGCTCACCAAGCAACAGAACGGTGTTTGGCTCACATCAGATACTTAGCAAATGTTTGCTGAATGCATTAATGGATGAACCGCTTTTAGTGCTGGTTCTCTCCTTGCTACGCATTTTCAAAAGAAACTTATTAAGCAACTTTGGCCCAAATGAACTGTGGGGCAGGAAAAAGTCAATGATCTGGGAATCAAAGACTGGACTGGCACCTGACTTAGCCACTAACAAGCTGTTCAGTTCCAGGCACTCAGTTGCGATCTCCGGGCTAGTTTCATTCCTCCTTAAAATGAGGAAGCAGAACTAGAAGTTGCCTAAAAAATCTTCTGGCGCTACCAGTCTGTGATTACTCCGTAAACTCTTTCTGCATTTAGGCAAGGGGACAGAGGGAATCAGTACACCAAAAGGCAAATGTAACAACTCCAACAGTATGGAACCAGCCTTGAAAGAACCAATGGACCAATAGGAAATGAAAGGGATGCACTGGTGCTAATGTGTGTTTGTGAGAACCCAGAGAGGGAGAGAGAAGGAGAGAAAGAAGGACAGGGTGGGGCAGGCAGATGGGAAGGGGAGGAGAGAAGGTGTTTAGGAAAGAAACAATTTCTTCTGTAGCAGTTCTTGATTCTTCCTTCCCTTGATCATACCCTCAATTTCCTCCTGTGAGTTTCCTTCTCCTGTGGAGCCTGACCACATACACCCAACTCTCCATTTTTCTGTAATTCTCAGCTCTCTCCTCCAACACTTAAGACAACACCTCTGAAGGCACTCACTTGTAATGCCATGAGTCAAGCTCTACTCTCACCAGATAGGTGGAATGAACGATGATTCCTGTCTCTCCTCAAATGGGATAAAAAGTCACCGGTCAGGAGAGTCTTCCCAGGATTAATCTCTTTCTTCTTTCCTTCTTCTAGACAAGATGGACTGGAGGACAGAGAAGCAACTGGAACCTTCGCTCTGGGCCCCAAGACTGTAAACTCACAGTCATCTGTAGCCCTAGGTTGGCCTTGTGTAGATTTTTTTTTCTTTTAACATTTTATTTATTTTTGAGACAGACAGAGACAGAGCATGAATGGGGGAGGGGCAGAGAGAGAGGGAGACACAGAATCGGAAGCAGGCTCCAGGCTCTGAGCCATCAGCCCAGAGCCCGACGCGGGGCTTGAACTCACGGACCGCGAGATCATGACCTGAGCTGAAGTCGGACGCTTAACCGACTGAGCCACCCAGGCGCCCGGCCTTGTGTAGATTTTAACCAGGGCTGCTGGAAACTGAAACAGGCAGGTACATGCAAGAAGGACCCACAGGTTCAATTACAGTCTTCCTGCAGAGACACTAAGGGTTCTCTCAAAAACAAACAAACAAACAAAAAACAATGATCCCAGGTCGAAATTCACTTAACATTCACTCCTCTGAAAGAATACACACTAACTTTATTGTTTCAGAGTACTATGTTGCAAAAAGGAATGAAATTTCAGGTAAAACTCCTCTGGGTTTGAACACCATCTCCTCCACTTACTACTAGCTGTGTGCTTTGAAGCAGGTAACTCCACATCTCTCTGTGAAATGATGAGGACACTTAACAACGCTGAGTAACCATGATAAATAAATGCACTTTGAAAAGTGTTTAACAGTGTTTGGCTTTCGATATGCTGGCTCTCGTCTCCGCCACCTTGAGGGGGTTCACTGCAGTTTGAGAGTCAAAAGGCTCCTAGAATAAGGTGAGGGGCAGTTCAACGCCCAGGCGTGGGCTCCCTACGCAGTGCACAGCACCTACAACACGGCGACGCAAACAGATCCGCCGCACCCCAGCCAGACCTGGGCTCCACCCCAGGGCAGCGGGAGCCTCGTCCTTCCTCGGCTTTCTGAGTCACATGCTACCGTGCAGCGGGGGTACCTACAGTTTTTATTTCCTTTGCATGAACCAACACGCCGGTCTTTGCCCTTAAACTGTCCCTGCAGTCCTTCACGATCACTAGCAGCTCAGCACCCAAGCACGCCGAGGAACATAGGCCACTTCCGGAGGGCCCTCCTGCGCGTGCGCGGGAATAACAACGCGCCGAGATTTCGCGGGGTCTTCCCGGCAAAGCCACCTGAGACTACATTTCCCACAAGGCTCGTGGAATTTATGTCGGCAAAGCCTTAGGGGTTTCCCCTTCATCTGGTGGAAATTTCTAGTTTGGTGGCCCTTGAGCTTCATGGAGCGCTCTGGTTATATTGAAGAGAAACGTGTATGTAATTTTGAGTTATTTATATAGAGATGACATATGGAAAATATATAGCATATCGACATGGCAAATAGGAAACAGTAATTTATTGAAAGGAAAATGTATCATGGCCAAATGTGATTTCTTCTTTCATTTTCTTTTTAAAAACAAACTTATTTTAGCAACACAGGAATAACATAAATATGTTTTTATTTTAAATAATTTTTAAATATTAACTGTTTAATGTATTAGAGCCCAGCTAAAAAGGTTCTTTACTTCAGACAGCCTAATTATGAGTAAGTTTCAGTCTTTTTTATTACGGTCTTGCTGTAAAGTAACATTGGCAGTCCAATTTCAAGTTTCACTCAGGGAAAAGACTTTATAAAAGGAAAAGAGGGGCGCCTGGGTGGCGCAGTCGGTTAAGCGTCCGACTTCAGCTCAGGTCACGATCTTGCGGTCCGTGAGTTCGAGCCCCGCGTCAGGCTCTGGGCTGATGGTTCAGAGCCTGGAGCCTGCTTCGGATTCTGTGTCTCCTTCTCTCTCTGCCCCTCCCCGCTTTATGCTCTGTCTCTCTCTGTCTCAAAAATAAATCAACGTTAAAAAAAAAAATTAAAAAAAAAAAAAAGGAAAAGAGAAGGATTACCTAATCATTTTTGGCTAGCTACAAAAAGGAGAGTGTATCTCACAGGAATCAAGGTGGGGAAATGACTAGTTTCTAGAGCAAGTCTTAATCAATGAAAGCCATTTTAAAATTTCTTATTAGGAATGATAGTTTCTCCCAGAATTGTACCAGAATGATAATTTTCCCCATGAATTATAGTGTGCAAAACAAAAACAAAACCCTTTTGCCCAGAGTGGGTTTGAGACACTTTCTCTTTTACATGTTTTTTTATGTTTGTTTTTTGTTTTTTTGCAGATCTTTTTACCTCAATCCTCTGCCCCCACCCTTTAAACTAAAATGTGTGGAGGCACCTGGGTGGCTCAGTCCGTTCAGCCTCCAACTTTGGCTCAGGTCATGATCTCACTGTTCATGAGGTTGAGCCCTGAGTGAGACTGCACACTGACATCACGGAGCCTGCTTGGGATTCTCCCTCTCCCTGTCTCTCTCTCTCTCTCTCTCTCTCTCTCTCTCTGCCCCTCCCCCATTCATACTCTCTCAAAAATAAATAAACATAAAATAAAATGTGTGTATACTATCAGGCCTTATTGTAAGCATATATCTAATATTCATTCAACAAAAACATGTTGATCAAGCTCATGTTATGTACCAGGCATTGATTTAGGTGTGTACTAATGAACAAAACAGATGAAAATACCAGCCCTCATGGAGCACTTGTTGTATTTTATTTGATACTAATAACTTTTGATGAAAAACGGGGTATTTCTCCTACAAATTACTTAATTACAAAGGAAAAAAAATGGTAATTTTGCAATGGAGAAACCTGGTAGATGCCACCTTAACCAAGTGATCAAAGTTAAAATTACTAGTAATGAAACAAGTCAACATTGTGCCTCCTGTCCTGAAATGTTGAGAATATCACTTATGTGATATACTTGCCGAAAATGCATTCCTTAAATCTAATTATGAGAAAACATCAGACCAACTAAACACGAGGGACATTCAACAAAATAACTGGCTTGTACTTTCCAAAAATAACAAAGTCATGAAAGATGTTGAAAGGATGAGGAATTATTTCAGATTAAGGGAATCTAAAGAAATGCAGTGGGAAAAGACCCTGAATAGCCAAAGTAATGTTGAAAAAGAAAATCAAAGTTGGAGGCATCACAATCCCGGACTTTAGCTTGTACTACAAAGCCGTAATCATCAAAACAGTATGGTATTGGCACAGAAACAGACACACAGACCAATCGAACAGAATAGAGAACCCAGAATTGGACCAAAAAATGTATGGCCAACTAATCTCTCATAGCAGGAAAGAGTATCCAATGGAAAAAAGACAGTCCCTTTAGCAAATGGCGCTGGGAAAACTGGACAGCAACATGCAAAAGAATGAAACTGGACCACTTTCTTATACCAGACACAAAAATAAACTCAAAATAGATGAAAGACCTAAATGTGAGACAGGAAACCATCAAAATCCTATAGGGGAAAACAGTCAACAACCTCTGACCTCAGCTGCAGCAACTTCTTACTCAACGTGTCTCCAGAGGCAAGGGAAATAAAAGCAAAAATGAACTATTGGGAATTCATCAAGATAAGCTTCTGCACAGCAAGGGAAACAATGAAACTAAAAGGCAACCAACGGAATGGGAGACGATATTTGCAAATGACGTATTGGATAAAGGGTTATAATCCAAAATCTATAAAGAACTTATCAAACTCAACACCTGAGAAACAAATAATCCAATGAAGAAATGGGCAGGAGACATGAATAGACACTTTTCAAAAGAAGAACATCCAGATGGCTAACAGACACATGTAAAGACGTTCAACATCACTCATCATCAAGGAAATACAAATCAAAACCACATTGAGATACCACTGCACCGGTCAGAGTGGCTAAAATGAACAACTCAGGCAATAATAGATGTTGGCAAGGATGTGGAGAAAGGGGAACCCTCTTGCACTGTTGGTGGGAATGCAAACTGGTGCAGCCACTCTGAAAAACAGTGTGGAGGCTCCTCAAAAAATTAAAAATAGAACCACCTTATGACCCAGCAGTAACACTACTAGGAATACACTACTAGGAATGTATCCAAAGGATACAGGAGTGCTGATTCATAGCCCCAATGTTTATAGCAGGGCTATCAACAATAGTCAAAGTATGAAAAGAGCCCAGGTGTCCATCAACTGATGAATGGATCAAGATGATGTGGTATATATATATACAATGGAATACTACTTGGCAATGAAAAAAAATGAAACCTTGACATTTGCAACAATGTGGATGGAACTGAAGGGTATTATGCTAAGTGAAATAAGTCAGTCAGAGAAAGATCTATGTTCTCACTAATATGTGGAATTTGAGAAACTTAATAGAAGACCATGGGGGAAGGGAAAGAAAAAAAATAGTCTGAGAGAAAAAAAACTGAGAGGGAGTCAAATCACAAGACTCTTAAATACAGAGAACAAACTGAGGGTTGACGGCGGGGCCGGGAGGGGAAAATGGTGATGACCATTGAGGAGGGCACTTGTTGGGATAAGGACTGAGTGTTATATATGTGATGAATCATGGGAATCTACTCCCGAAGCTAAGAGCACACTGTATACTCTGTGTGTTAGCTAACTTGACAATAAATTATATTTAAAAAAAATTAAAATAAAGTTATGCCACTAAAGAAATAAATTAAATAAATACATAAATCCATATGTTCTTTGTGAGAGAGAAAGAAAGAAAGAAAGAAAGAAAGAAAGAAAGAAAGAAAGAAAGAAAGAAAGAAAGAAAAAAGGAAGAAAAGGAAAAAAGAAATGCAATGGTAATCCTGGTTTGGATCCTGGACTGGAAAAAAAAAATTTTGTTAAAAAGAACATTGTTGGTTTAAATACAATGTGGTATCTTGGATTGGATCGTAGAACAGAAAAAGGACATTTGTGGGGAAAGTAGTGAAATATGAATAAAGTGTAGAGTTTTTCTGCACTTCACTTTCCCTGATCTCTGTTGGATTTATTAAGTTCTCATTATTCCTCTCTTCAGATTTGTAAGTTACATATTCTATTTCTATGCTTTTCTACTCTTAATTTTTTACATCTTAGAAGGCCTAAATGTTCTTTTTTCTAGAACATGAGGACTCCTAAACTCAGATTTCCCTTTCCATTTTTTGTTTTCTCATTACATTTTTCATATTTGATTCTTAAAAATTACCATATATAATCAGAAAAATGAACAGTTTCATTGGGGGGGAAATGCCAATACACCATCTATGTATAAATAAAAGAGAGAAAAGGCATTTTGAATTATCTTTTTATAGAGTAAAACAAACAAACCCCCATACCTCGAGGTATGACAAACTGTAAAGAGGTGGTAAAAATCAAGGGATTTCTCACCTAAATTGTGCCTGGCTGTCTCAGCCACAGAGCACAAATAGACTAGGGAGTTCTGGGAATCCAAGATGTTTAGATGAGTCCAAGCATAGTTCTGTTTTTCTTCTTGCCAAAATTTTGTACAGCCTGACAGTGAGGTCAGTGGCAAAAGCTGTCTAGGAGGCAGTTTGTATCTGTCCAGTACTGGAAATATTTTTTCCTACTAGTGCATTCCTACTTCCACTTACAGAAGGGAGCAAAATAGTTTATGAACCCCAGATTACATGCTTCCTGATATATTACAATTAGAACTCCCTTGTTTTATTCCCTTATCCCCAGAGCAGATCACCGCACACTTCTTGCCACGTTGACCCACACAGCTGCTCTTTCAAGGGGCCTCACATCATGCTGGCAACAGTAGAGCCCCCTACCGCCTCTCGTCCTACTACTAGCTTTAAGTAGTTTGGAGTTTCTCAGATGAGAGATATGGGCTTGGGAAAGGGAGACAGGATGGGAATGGTAAAACTAAGTAGGACAAAATGAGGATCTCATGTAGGAAGTGAGAAAAACGTTGAGCTGAAAAAAAGGCAAGTCCTGTGACTATAAATACCTAAAGAATTTCCTGCATGGCTATCAAACTGATTCTGAAAGACAATTCCAAAAGAAAGGGGTTCCAGAAATTTTTGGAACTACGAGAGTAGAACCAGCCTGTAGCCTCCTGAAACACTTGGGGAGTATGAAAGAAAGAAGATATTCGGGGCATCTGGGTGGCTCAGTCGGTTGAGGGTCCGACTTCAGCTCAGGTCATGATCTCGCGGTTCGTGAGTTTGAGCCCGGCATCGGGCTCTGTGCTGACAGTTCGGAGCCTGGAGCCTGCTTTGGATTGTGTCTGCGTCTCTGTCTGCCCCTCCCCCACTTGTGCTTTCTCGAAAATAAAAATTAAAAAAAGAGAAGATATTCAAGGTCACTTGTTAAAGATGGCAAGACAGGACCATTGCAATAGGTATAAGGACCACTGTATTGAGATTTCAGTTGGGTAGAGAGATTGGTCTTAACTCTGAATACAGCATGGGCAAGTGGGAATTTATAGCAAAGGAGCAAGGTGGGAATCAATGGGTGGAAAATCAGAGGTAAGGAGGATTCTGGCTAAATCGACCTAACAAACGCGACTGTTGCTGAAGACAGGCCAGGGTGATGGATGGTAGAGGATGAGGAATCTGATCAAATACCAAGGGTAGGGAGTGCTGGTCAAACTGACTCCATGCGATTCTTGCTAAAACCATTTTACAAGGAAGTGCACAGAAGAGAAGGCCTAGGAGAAGGTGCAGGCGACTGATAAAAGTTTGGTCAAGCGAAGAATTCTTGTCAGTAGACAAGATTTAACTTAGTTCCGTAAGTTCTTGTGTGCTTGTTCAAAAAAGCACTATCTCTCACAATCATTACTCAATGTTACTCTTCAAAAAATGGCTAATGAAAGAAAAACAACGCAACAGTTATAACTCAGCTTAAACTTGAAAAGGCTTGATTTCCAAATTTAGGTTCAGGTTGTTTTGTCACTACTCAGGAAAAGGCATAAAGGTTTTTTGACATTATCAAGGAATACTGTGGATAGCAATTAAAAACTCCAGCTTAAATAATGGGTGGTTCATCCTTTTAAGGGACTATGCATAACTTACATAATATCACATTCCAAAGTGAAGTTGCTAAGGAGGGACACGCTCTCTGCAACTTAACATCGCCTATGCTGTCACAAGGACAACTCCAGGCACCCCTAAGAGCTAAGCCTGTCTCAATTTCTTTTTTTTTTAATTTTTTTTCAACATTTATTTATTTTTGGGGGACAGAGAGAAACAGAGCATGAACGGAGGAGGGGCAGAGAGAGAGGGAGACACAGAATCGGAAACAGGCTCCAGGCTCTGAGCCATCAGCCCAGAGCCCGACGCGGGGCTCGAACTCACAGACCACGAGATCGTGACCTGGCTGAAGCCGGACGCTTAACCGACTGCGCCACCCAGGCGCCCCTAGCCTGTCTCAATTTCTTACAAGAAAACAAAAACAGACACAAAAACTCACTCCCCCAAAGTTGCAAAGTATCAGGACACCCTAGTCTATTAAAATCAAATACAGATGGTACCTCAGTTAAACATTACTTGAGCTGTGCTTACACCTTATGTAGATACACCAGTGAAAAAGAACAGGAATGTGTGAAGGGCAAATGTTTTATTTACAAACTTATTTTCAACTGAATGCTTACCGTAATACAGAATACAAATGCTTTTCCCTCTCAACTGGTATATTGTTTGTTTTGCTGCTTACATACACAGGAAAACATCTTTTTAACAAGTTTTATAATTAAAGAGGAGACTGAGATTCAGTAACACTGCCTTGCCCATTAAAAGTGCCAGCAAATGGATGAAAATATTACTGAAATTCATACTTCGTATTAAACCACATTTTTTCACTTGCAGGTTTTTAGGATTGGAAGAAAAAATGGTATGTGCTTCACTCTTAACAGATATAATTTAATACGTAAACATTTTATACTCACACTTGCATATTTGATAATTTGTTATAAAAATAAAAATCAGAGACGGTAAATGTAGTTTTCACTAATTCCTTCATTAATTTATGCTACTTTTTAAGCTCCATGCTCTATTATTTATAAATCAATGTTTTCTGTGATCTTTTTAACACTTTATTATCACTTTCAGAACATGACTGGCATTATTTTTTTATGGGAATCTACTTTGCCAAATCCAAATTGGTGGATTTCTCTTCACCATGAATTTTCGATTTAATAAGATTTATCTAATATTTAAGGCTTTGTCATATTCACAGCATGAATATTATGTATGAGTTTTCTGATGTACAATAAGATTTGACTTCTGGGAAAAAGCTTTCCCACATTTGTTACACTGATAGGGCTTTTCTCCTGTATGAGTTATCTGATGTCTAAGGAGATGTGACTTCTTGATGAAGGCTTTGCCACATTCAATACATCCATATGGTTTCTCTCCTGTATGAATTCTTTGATGCGTAACAAGCACAGATGTGTTACCAAAGGCTTTGCCACATACGATACATCGGTAGGGTTTCTCTCCTGTATGAAATCTAGAATGTTTATAAAGGGATGAGCTATACCTGAAGGTTTTCCCACATTCTTTACATTCAAACGAGTTTTCGAGTGTATGAGATTTCACATGTTGGGTAAAGGAAGAGTTCCAAGTGAATGACTTCCCACACTGATGGCATTCATAAGGCTTCTCTCCAGTGTGAAGTCTCTGGTGGACCACCAGTTGTGCTCTGTACATAAATGCTTTCCCACAATCACTGCACACAAAGGCTCCCTCTCCATTATGGATTTTCTGATGAGATGTAAGGTGAGACTTCCTGCTATAGGCTTTCCCACAGTCGTTGCATTCAAAGGGCTTTTTTCTTGTATGATTTTTTTCATGTCTAATGAAATGAAACTTCTTTTTGAAGGTTTTCCCACATTGAGTGCATTCATAAGAGTTTTCTCCAGTATAGTATGTATTATAATTAAGTAAATCTAAAGTAGACTGCACACTCTTCCCATATGATTTACATTCATATGGTTTTTTTCTTGTAGGATTAAGGCTTGTGCTCATGTTATAACCATGGAGTCTCTCCATAGTCAGAATCTTATTGAAGGTGAACAAAACTGAATTCAAAAAATTGTCTTTGCTTTCTTGGTTCTTCTCTGATTCATCAACAAGTAGCCAATCAGCTTCTAAAAAGGAGTACAATAAGACATGCCTCGTTAATTTTTTCCATCAACAGTTATTGAAAGAAACATGATTTCAAATCTAGTATCTAATTCTGAAATCAATCCTGTATTTGTCTTGCTCTTGAGCTTTAAGAATAAAACTGCTGAAGAGGAAATGGGAGCAGATGAATGACAATAATGAGAACAGATGGCTCATCTTGTGACCTACGGAAAGACAGTTAAATAGGCACAAGTTACAGTGAGTAGGGCACAAAGGAAGTCAAAAGGTTGCTCAACATTGATGCATGGTTATCTCACAGAATGGAGACCTATTGCAGGGATCTACCAATGGATGAGTGACCAGAGGAACAAGAGACTCTGGAGTTAAGGGAAAATATCAGAGGAAAAACCAGATCTGGAGGCAGCAGATCAGAATCAGAGTCCCCACCACCCCGGTCCTAGATTACCCTGGTAGGACAGCTCCCCGTTTCCCTCATTCACATCTCTTTCTCCTCTTAATCACCTGGCACAATGGCAGTTACCTTCAAGAACATTCTTACATCTCCAGTCCTCTAACTCCATCCAAATCACAGGTGAGACATGTCTGCAGAGGGCACCAATCTACAACAGCTGGGATTCATTCTCCTGTGTCCTTGGAAGCCCAGGCATAGATTCTGTCTGCTTGCTATTGCTTTTATTCTGGTTGGGTTTCTATATATGACAACTATTTGTTGTATTTGTATTTGACAAGTACAGTTTTTACATTTTCTTTCAATCTACCCAACAACCTGGTCCTTAGAAAGCTGAAGTCACTTTATCCTGAAGTTACATTTTTTCATTCCTATCCTCAAGACACTACAAATCTCCAGTCGATCTCTCCACTAAAAAAGGGGGGAGGGTGCCTGACTGGCTCAATTGGAGGAGCACATGGCTCTTGATCTTGGGGTCATGAGTTTGAGCCTCATATTGTGTGTAGAAACTGCTTAAATAAATAAACTTAAAAAAAGAGGGAGAAGGGGTTATATCCCCCCTCCTGAATTTCTCTCCTTGTGGAGTGTTAGTACAACACCCCAGCTTTTAACCTCACGCCTTCTTCTCTGTGGAGCTGCTCCAAGCAGTGGGCTATAGCCACCGGTACACATTTTTTTTTTAATTTTCTTAACATTTATTCATTTTTGAGAGACAGAGAGAGACAGAGTGTGAGCGGGGGAGGGGCAGAGAGAGAGGGAGACAGAATCCGAAGCAGGATCCGGGCTCCGAGCTGTCAGCACAGAGCCTGATGTGGGGCTCGAACTCACCAGCAGAGAGATCATGACCTGAGCTGAAGTCGGACACTCAACCGACTAAGCCACCCAGGCACCCCTTCGGTACACATTTCTTTATGCAGAGTGAAGTTCCTGTCTTCTTTCCTCGCTGCTTCAACTAATGGGAAGCAGCGTCCTGGGTTCCCTCAACTAATAGTAACCAACTGAAATATCCAGGGCAATCAGCGTGGTGAACAAAACTATACATTATAATGAATTCATTCATGGTATCTAAGCACACATTTTTCTAGTCCTGAACAAATACCTTCTGTTCCAAGAATTCTAGACTCTAAATAATTACAGTATTTTGCTCATGTTCCTTTCCCATCTTAACTTGCTCTACCTCATCACCTCTCACCCTATTTAGTACTTACATATTCTTTAGGGAGGAGCCATTGTTCCATAATCTCAAAAAATGACTCCTCTCATTTTTTGCATACTTTAACTTTAAGCTCCATTTTCTCTGAACTTCCAGGACAGTCCCACTGCTGCCCGAAACCACTCATTCTGACAATTAGCTAGAAAAAAACTGCAATGTTATTGTACATCCAACAAATCTTCCACAATCATAAAATTTTAAAATATCTGATATGGCTGTTTTGCCTCTCAACTACAATTTTCACACCTTGGCAAATGGTAATGGCTTTTTTTGCTTTCTTTGAATCCTCCTCAGGAAACGTAAAAAAAGCCTCACTGAAAGAATAAGAAGCATCCCACAGTGCCTGACTTTACAACAGTAAATTAATGAAATGTTCGTTAAATATCCAGTGTGTGCTCAGCAATGGTATAAAAACAAAAAATGATATAGGACTTTCTCTTCAGGGTATTATCAAGAGAAAAGATGCCTTAAGAGCACACAGGGTTTAAAAAAAAGTTTTTTTTAACATTTATTTATTGTTGAGAGACAGAGAGAGAGCACAAGCAGAAGAAGGGCAAAAGAGAGAGGGAGACACAGAATCCAAAGCAGGCTCCCAGGCTCTGAGCTGTCAGCACCGAGCCCAACACGGGGCTTGAACCCACGAACCGTGAGATCATGACCTGAGCCGAAGTTGGACACGTAACCAGTTGAGCCACCCAGGTGCCCCATGAGCATACAGGGTTTTAAACTGGTGCAGACACCCTGGAAAATGGTATGGAGGTTCCTTAAAAAATTAAAAATAGAACTACCCTACGACCCAGCAGTTACACTACTAAGTATTTAGCCAAGGGATACAGGTGTGCTGTTTCAAAGGTGGCACATACACCCCAATGTTTACAGCAGTGCTATTGACAATAACCAAAGTATGGAAAAGGCCCAAATGTCCATGGACAGATGAATGGATAAAGATGTGGTATATATATACAATGAAGTATTACTCAGCAATCAAAAAGAATGAAATCTTGCCATTTGCAACTATGTGGGTGGAACTAGAGGGTATTATGCTAAGCGAAATTAGTAAGAGAAAGACAAGTATCATATGACTTCACTCATATGAGGACTTTAAGACACAGAACAGATGAACATAAGGGAAGGGAAGCAAAAATAATATAAAAACAGGGAGGGGTCAAAACATAAGAGACTCTTAAATACAGAGAACAAACTGAGGGCTGCTGGAGGGGTTGTAGGTGGGGGAATGGGCTAAATGGGCAAGGGGCATTAAGGCACACACTTGTTGGGATGAGCAATGGGTGTTATACACAGGGGATGAATCACTGGAATCTGCTCCTGAAATCATTATTGCACTATATGCTAACTAACTTGGATGTAAATTTTAAAAAATAATAATAAATAAAGTTTAAAAAAATCTAAAAGAATATATGTCAAGTTTTCATGAAAGAGCCATAGTAGAGCTGGGACGGAGCTTCAAAGAAGGTAGAGATTAACATAGGCTGGAGTTATCATGAAAGAGGAGAACACTGAATTCAGACTTAGTAGCATGCTGGTTTTAGAGCACACCAGTATCAAAAGAACTGACACACAGAAGAAAATCGTGTACAAAGTTCACTAAAGAGCCCAACTGCCATGGAATAGGGAAAAGATGGACCGTTCCAGATAAACAGAATGGGATCACATTAAAGAGACCTTAAAAGCCATTTAAGTGTCACTTAATAAAGGTTATAAAGGAATAACTCCTGCTAATTTGCCAGAAGAGTGACTCAGAAAATGAAATGATTTGGATAAATCTTGCAGGAACATCTAATATAAAACAGAAAATAGAACAGAATTGGCAATGTAGAATCATGAATGGCCTAGACACCATAGCAGTAGTTAAAATTCACTTGGTTTGTATTAGAAGTTGGGGTCCCAGGAATGTAAAATACACTTAATTGGTGTCTTAATCGTTTGAAACATACTTCTTTTACGGGCTCTGTGGAAAAAGAAAATTTTATTTTAAATCAGTCTTGGATAACCTAATAATTGAAATCACCGGTAATAAGTCTAACGGTATTTAAGGAAACACTCGTGACACAGAAAAGCTAAGTTGCTTACCACAGTGATTCAGAGACTGCAAAGCAGCAGGCCAGTCATTATCCTTGATTATAATTTAAAGAGAAAGGTGAAGGTTGAAGCATATTAAATATTGGTTACTATGAAAAAACGGAGATTAAAGCCAGGTGGGGAAAATTATGGGAATGGGAAGTTGGAGAGGCACAGATAGCACAAAGAAAATCATGCGAGTTCTTCAGAGGGATGCAGTTTCTGAAGGAGTTACTGTGGGAGAAGTTCTGGAGAGAGACACGAAGGCAAGAAACAAAGGTGGATAAGCAGGAAGTGAGGGTGAGGGCAGATTAGCGAGGAACCAACTCAAATGAAGTTGGAGAATTTCCAAATGACATCAGTATTACCAAGTGAAGCAGACAGATGCACTATAAGGTAGATACCCCAAGTCGGCAGTGAGATGAAAGATGAGCAAGGTGGGGTACAGAGATGGGGCATATACTATAAGAAAAGGTTTTTGGGGGTTTTTTTTGAAAAGAGGAATAATTAGAGCATAATGTTCCTATAAGTTTTAAAATAAAAATCTCTTCAAAAAATTAAACAAAAAAAATAAAAATAAAAATAGCCAACATATACTGAACTCTTACTATCTGCCAACTACTTGAATGGGTTTGCATGTATTAACTCACATAATCTTTAAAAGAAACCTGAAGTGAGGATTAATATTATCCCTGTTTTATAAATAACGTTGTGCTACAAAATAATTAGGTTAGACAGTGACTGGTGGAGTAAGACTTCAAATCTACATGATCTGACTACAGTATAAGAATTAGATGTATAGGGGCGCCTGGGTGGCTCAGTCAGCTGAGCTTCTGACTTTGGCTCAGGTCATGATCTCACAGCTCATGAGTTCGAGCCCTGTGTTGGGCTCTATGCTGACAGCTCAGAGCCTGGAGCCTGCTTCAGATTCTGTGTCTCCCTCTCTCTCTGCCCCTTCCCCGCTCATGCTCTGCCTCTCTCTGCCTCTCAAAAATGAATAAACGTGGGGCACCTGGGTGGCTCGGTCGGTTAAGCGTCCGACTTCAGCGCAGGTCATGATCTCGCGGTCCGTGCAGTCGAGACGCGTGTCAGGCTCTGTGCTGACAGCTCAGAGCCTGGAGCCTGTTTTGGATTCTGTGTCTCCCTCTCTCTGACCCTCCCCCATTCATGCTCTGTCTCTCTCTGTCTCAAAAATAAATAAACGTTAAAAAAAATTAAAAAAAAAAAGAATAAACGTTACAAAAAAACAAAAAACTAAAAAAAAAGAATTAGATGTATAAAAAAAGATCTGGGATCATTTTTTAGTTTTTGTTTTGTTTTACAAAGTAGGCTCCATGCCCAGTGTGGAGCCCAATGCGAGGCTTGAACTCACGACCCTGAGATCAAGACCTGACCTGAGATCAAGAATCGGTTGGTTAACTGACTAAGCCACCCCGGCACCCCAATCTATGATCATGATGAGGAAAAAAGAAGAATGAGGACTTGGGGAATTAAGAGAACAAAGCAAGGACCTACATAAAACAGGAAGCATAGGGAGCCTGGGCAAAGAGGAAAGGGACATCCCTCCATACAAGAGCTGAGCAAAGACAAAAAACAGCTGGGCAGAGTGAGTGAAGGTGTCATTTGCGGATCTGACAATGAATGGTAGGTCAAGCATACCCAGTCACTTCCAAAGATGTGTGGCTTTTAAGAGGTGCTTCAAAGGTACCTGTCCCTCACTGACCAACTGGAATCTCAATTCCAAAGACTCCCATCTGCCTAGCTTTCTCTCACTCACCTGGATAGCGCCAACATGGGTTCTCCCCCTCCACCATCCATGACTCCTGTCCTTGCTCCTCCTTGAAGATCACTTTTGTTTTGGTAACTTGACCCCCTGTTTGTGGGAAACAACACAGAACTGGAGACAAAGTGCTAGACACAAACAACTACCTCACAATTCAGGTCTGCCTCCTTGAATCTCAGAGCCTGGAAAGGATGACAGACTTTAGAACAAAAAAGACCTTTCTCCGCCATTTGGAAGGTGGAAGCATAAACACACATTCTCTGTTTATGCTTCATCTCAAAGGGAATCAAGAGTCTGTGACCACTGACATTCAGGGCCAAACTCTGTAATGCTTTAGAATGTCCACACGTCCCACAGGAAGGGCACTATGAGTACATGCTCAGTTACAGTGAAGAGTTAGTCACTACCCACTGTCCTTACCCACTGCGGTGAGGTTTCTAAAGTTCTCCAGCATCACATCCCAATACAAGGTTCTCTGATCACAGTCCAGCAGCTGCCACTCTTCTGGGGTA